GGCAATCCAGGTCCAAATAAAATGGCTTTTCAGGGAGAAGAAAAGGAGAAACCATCAACAAGCCCAATTCACATTGAATGTCCCCCAGTTCTCACCCTTGTGAGCCTCCACTGCGCTCCCTCACCCTACTGAAGAACCCAAATATTTGCTTCCTCAATAGAAACTAGCCCACAACAACTTAATCGTGCTAAGTTGTGCCATTGGTGAATCTCACTACACTCTGGCACATCGCAGTGCCGTGCCGGGAACATTGGCGTGGCACAAGGCACTTCAAGTGCCAATAGCCCTACCTGTTGCATCTAGCAGAAGACTTGGAAAGTGGATCTTGGGTGCTGTTGGATTCCAGTCTTCCAAATCCATGTGAGAATTCTCTCTGAAGTGATCATATTTTTCATAGAGCGCAAAGATTAGATAAATTAAATTAGTGATCTGGAATGAGCAATTCTGCCTCAGTGTGCCGATTCTCCTTCAAATATCTGATATACTAGGCTTTTGCATTGGTCAATGTAGGGACTCTTGAAGGGAATCCAGTAATCTCAAGTGGTCGGTCGGTATCTTACCATTAGTCAGCTGTCCGGCCACTCCGGCCACAGCTTCAGGCACCCTGGGTCAGTCTGATCAAAATTATTCATAGCCACCAAAACCCAGTGGTGTCCAAGAAGCACCCGGTCCATTCATGCGGCAATCCAAGGTAACTTGGCCTAATGCCTAGGCAAAGCCGCCCGCAGCCCAGGTAAAGCCATCATGTCTAGGGCAGGCCAGGTTTAAGATTTGAAAAGCCGCTTTTCCTTGGTCCAACCGGGGCATCTCTACAAAAGCCTAGGTTAGTCCTGCCATCCCCAATACCGGATGACGTGCTGCTTGTGTTTGCTAGAGAGCATTGGGAAATGTAATTTCTCCAAGTAGGTATATAGGAGGGCTGGTAGAGATAAAAATACTAGCTAACCACTGGAGGGGGAATTTTCAAGGTGATTTCAGTTCCCTTATCCAGTAAGAAAGCCGTGAACAATTGACTAACTTAGTGGCAGAATACTAGTAAAAACTAATATCATCCGAGAGAGGTAAAAAAAAGGAACACTTCTTACCATCTTCTACACTTTCGCATGTCATACGAGGTGGAATTATGTTTGTCAGGACTAAATGGTGTTGCAGCACTGCGACCATTTCTTAGGATTCGGCGACAATTTGAGGAGATGACGCTGTCTTCTTATAATAGCCCCGCTGAGTCAACGATTGTTCAGCATCACCAAGACTTTTGTCAAGCGACTGTATCTGTTGAGCATCGTGTTGGCAATGAAAACGCCAAAGCCGGTAAAAGCGGTTGCGATAGCGCCAATATACGGAATAATGCCTAAAAGATAGCCGAAAATGGCCAGGTCAGTAAACACAAACATCATGGACTGGTGAAAAGCTTCAAGAAACTAGAACACCAACCGCTCATCGTGGGGAAGGGTTGCGTTAGTGAGTCGGAGTATGTGGCGATGTTTAGAAGATGAGAGAATCATGGGGCGGTGGTAGCGTGAGTAGTCTTTGGTTATAGGAAGCTATCCGAATGGTGAAGGAATATTGGCACTGAGAGATGTGGTATTTGGTAATAGAGATATTGGTGAATCGAGTGATAGGTACGTCTTCATTGGATAAAATTCTCGTGGATGGATGTTAAGCAGCTATCGTCTCTCGGAGCGGATGTTTTCTGCACTCGTTCTACTCCACCATGCTCCTATGGGTACGCGTTCACCGCGTAGAGGAGCATGTCCAAGATGATGTGTAATTGCGACGCGGCAATGCTATATTGTACCGTCGCCATGTCATGGTCTCGCCCAGCCTCTTTCATAGACCACCTGGCTCAGCAGTGGGAAAGCTGTTTTGCAAAACCAAGGCCGTAGTTGGTCGGACATGGCTTGCTTTCTTCGGATTGAAAGAGATTGATATTGAACTAGACTAATCTTTCGTTGTTCGCCATTTGAGAAAACCTCCCCGCATTGCCGCTAGGTGATCTAATTCCACAGCTTCTAACACTTTGCACTGTCAGTAATCTTGTCGCTGGGGCGGTCCTTCTGATCTGGCAGCTTTACGTGCGTCTGCAAACCTTGTGGTTGATTCGCCCCGGTCGTTGCACAGGACTGGACGCACCCCAACGAAGCATAGCCCATGCTCATCGAATGAACCCGTTGGGTAGGTGCACAAAAGAAAAGGAGTCAAGAAAGATATATCTATCACAGTATGATTCTATCTGTATTGCAAAAGAGCAACACCTAAGTTTTGTATGATTTGATCGCCTGGGGTCGAGCTAGCGTGGGATCAAAGGAAGCGAATTTCCAATAGTGGTTCAGGAGTTCATCACTAAGGGTTAAAAGGTTTCTACTATAGGCAATTCACTATCCCTATGCTCACGCTAACGCAACTCCCGGCTAGTAAAATATACAAAACCCAGGTGCTATACTTCGAGAGAGAGAAATTATTATAATTCGTTATTGACGGAGGAATAGCTAGTGGCAGAAGCGATATGTGAATATTTATGATCCGGGGAAGAATATCGCTTGTCTCTTGATTGAGAGTGACGTGGGTCTCGTATCGCCTCCTAGCTCTTCCGAATACGCCGTCGGATTCCGGAGACATTGTGGAATCGATGAAAGATCAATGACCCACAACAAAAGTACTGTGTATTCTATATGTCTCGCTCCAATCAGTAGATAGTTTGGGCATCCTGAACCTCACTAAGAGTTCCTCGATTTCCCAACTCATCGTTCAAGCTCACTGTGTCAACTATTTAAACAAAATTTAATGATGCCAAGTGATATTCCATGAATGGCCACCATTCCCGCTAGCCAGCCTGGCTGACTGACATGCATCACACGAGTCTGCCCCCTGGAGCCTAGAGCACATTAGGCCAGAGCTAATTTGCCCGTAGAGGATACACTCTAATGGTAGCTCATTCACCATGATCCCAAGAGTACTGTACAAAGCACAAACCTTACAGTAGCGTCTCCATACCAGCTACCCGTGCTCTGAATGCGCACCGAAACCTCAGGGAACATCCAGGCATAACGGAAGACGAAGTCCTGATTTGTGATCCGAACCCTTACCTACTGCAAAATAAGTTTCCGGCAATGCTCCAATGTGGTGCCGGCTCTTTGGTACCCCTCCTCTGTCAATCCTCCTGCATCAGACAATGATAACCTTGAACTAACCTAAGGCAGAATTAAGACTAAGGCAGAATAGAGACTGCTGGACCAGAATATTGAGCAGGTGTCTTGCTTACCAAATCTGAGCGCTAACCGAGAGGGGATAACAGACGACTGGATGAGTATCCTAAATTCCTTTGGCGCTTACCTAATCTTGGGGCTAACCCGGAGTGGATGAACAGCCGCTGGGTGAGTACCGTATATAGACCACTAAATTATACTCACCCGGCAAGCGCTAATTATCAGCCATCATCGTGCCCTAGATTCCAAGGATATCACTACGACCTTCACGTTAGGTCTCAGTCCATCATGAATTGTAAGGGTATCTGGAGTTTTCAAGTTGTTTCATAAATTTATTTCAATCATTTGAGGAATAAAGAGACTACTGATAGTGTGTGAGTATTTGAGTAAACCTTTTTGATACCATGCTTGGTGAAAGTACCTTCAGGGTACCATTGACCAAGAAATGTACTTATACAGTACCATTGAAAAAGTAAAGCCTTTGCACTGAATTGAATTGGCCTGTTCTCGCTTAAAGGAGGTATCTATTAAATTATGCGTATTTGTTGCACCAAGAATCCTAAGAAAAACATCACCGGGCCTCAAGTAACTCTTTATTTTTTTGTGCTGGGGAATGGAGGGGGGGGGGGGGAGAAGGCTGTGTGCTTGTGTATAGTTGGCGCAGGCTGCCCACAAAATAAGTCTAAAACCGCAACTAGTTCATGCTCTTGCTCCTTCTTAGTCTAGGACAGGGAGGGACCCACTAATAGAATAAGTACTTTAACTTGTACTTCCTAGCCTTCCATACCCTCTGGGTTCTCCCCCCCCCCCGAGCTCCCAATCCTTCTGGGCCTGTCACCTTTTGACTCTCATCCCTGCTGGGTTCCTGTCTCTTGTCGCTGGCCTACCGGGATCCTCATTCTTTGGGGGTCTAATAGTGGAACCCCCCACAGGTCTGTACTCGTGCCGTAAGAACTCAAATAATTGGACCTCACTCTAAGATGTCCAGATTTGCCACTCTTGGATAGGGGGGTGAAAAGATTGCGAAAACTGACCAGTCCAGCCCTAGCTTAAGATAAAAAACAGAGGGTAAAAAACTACCGCGCCTTACCAGCAAAGTCAACCACAACGTCCTAACATCAGTACAAGTTCCTTGCTAAAGATTAATGGGCCGATTTCTACTGATAGCACGTCTTCCACCATCTTCTGAGCCCCACTCTTTTACCTGTTTAGGATGGTCTGTATGGGGTTCAATACCACAAAGCATGCAAGAAGATTGCATCATCACACCCGGCTATAGAACATGGAGCTTCGTATATATGCTGGCATCGCCCCCTCGGGGATTTGGAATTCATGGAAATACAAATAGTTGTCAATATCGGGATGTTGGGTCATTGTCGTCATGGACAACCCCCAGCACCGTACCGGTACCGGCCATGGAACTCTTTCAAAGAGGTTCGTGACATAATACGGGAGGCAGCAGGGGTGTTTCAACAGTATGTATGTGGAATAGAAATCAGGAAAATTGGAGTTGTGGTGGCGAGTCGATGGTGAATCGGGACCCTCCTCAGGCTATAAATTTAACTTGCTCTAGACTTGTGGAAAACGGATTTCCCAGAAGGATTGAGATCGGCTGCTCAGCACTGGGCAGTTACTCGAGTATATATGCATGAAACGCAACATTCTTTCTATAAAATTATGCATGCCTTAATCCTTGCTTTTTGTGTTATACCGTACAACTTCTTTTTTATTTCTATCATCATGCTTAGTATGAGTATATAGTTAGGTTATTTCAATTTGTTGAAAAGGAAAATGTTTTTTTTTTTCATTATACTTTATTCTCTTCGCGCTTTCTTGACTTTAATATCTCATCTGCCCAACCGCTCACTACCTTAACTAAAATCAAAACTTCTCCTTCTCCCAACCCCTCAAACCCCTACTCTATCCGACAGCAGCCCCGGTCCAACAACCCCCATGGGATAAAACAAGGGACAAGTCCAAAATATGTCAGATCTTCATAAGGGCGATGAAGTTGGCCCGAATGACACTAGCCGATTCGGTGCCCGTAGCAAGAACTGGCCCAGCCACCGTTCGCGGAGCTGAAGACCTAAGACTTGTGATTGTCGTCCCCTTGTTAATTTGGATTTGGAGGTTGTATCCGCCGTTGCTTGTCTTCTATTTGGTCATCAGCATCCTCTCCTCACAGCTAGCGTTCGTTACCGCGCCCAGTTTCCGACAAACGGGGCATCAAGAGTAGGTTATATAAACTCCAGATTTAAAAAAAATCGACCAATAACCTAGGTTATTTGGTTCCTGCTCCTCAAAAACAGGGGGCTGTAACGAAGCCTACTCATAGCCCTTCTTCCTTCAGGTTACTCACGCATTGCATATCCAGGCGGAAGTCTCGATCAGAGTAAATCGTTCCACCGCTCTCCGGAAATCCCGTCAGCTTTGAATCCGGAATATCGTTGATGAAATCTCGGAGCGCTTTATTTGCTTTCCCCATGGTGAATAAGATATTTAAAGGAACAACTAGGAAACGTATTGGAGGGCTCGAGCAGCAGTGATAGGAGTCCCGACAGATATGTTAGTAGTGGAGAGAAGAGAGATTTATAGAAGATATAAACTCGAGATGGCGCTTCAGCCTGTTTACTATCGAGTCCTTCACAATATTAATATGGATAAAGGAATATTACATCATTAACGACGTCAATACGGATAAAAGGATATCGCATCCTTGCCGATATCAATTTAGATAAAATAATATCACATCCTTGACAATATGAAGGTGGATAAAGCGATATCGCACGGTATTATAGTAGGGGCTTTTGGCTCTTTTTTTGTTTAGTACAGTACGGCTTTCCGAGGGCTAGCTCTGTTGGTGCGGAGTGACAATATCAACGTGGAGACGCTGTAACACTGGGAAGCAGACGATGTGTTTCAAAATCGAATGTTCCATCGTCTGACCGCTTGGCTCCAATTCAATCCCATATCTTCTGCCGGTACTCTAGCACGGCCAGTTACGAGTCTGGTAAGGCTCTGTTTGGCGGGAAGGGAAGTGTTCGAGATTGTTCCATTTTCTCAATACAAAACGACCGTTATGAAGAGGAAGGGAAAGAAATTTCGTATTAACTTGTATAATATTATGATATTCAATGCTGCCACGGCCTTGGTGCGAGTAACTTATGGGGCGCTGGATTGTGAGCCTTATGTAAATTATTGTTCATTAGCCTAATTAACCGAACATCGCAAGGCAACATGGCCTAGGTTTTGGTACAGTACCCATACCTGACTACCGTACCAAAACCCACAACTGAAAAATGAAGTAAATACATAATCCTAATTAACGTCTTGTATGCCATACCGTGAGTGATTTGTTATATATGGTAAAGGTACAAGTGGGACCATAAAAGTAACGGGGCACAAGCGATTTTACACCAAAAATGGCCAATTTCACACACATATTCAGTAAAAAAATACTTGAATTAAAAATAGGATAACTTCATAGAGTGTTCAGAAAAGATGTAGACTATGATACTTAACCTCCATTGTAACTTTCAGGGAATTTAAATTCTCTGAAGAGTAGTAGCAAAAGGTATGATAACAAAACTTTCTTAAAAATCACGCCAAGACCATTGCTTTTGGTGGGAAAACTGTGTCTTGGCGAAATTTGAAAGTTTAATAGCATACCACTCTTGAGGAGCTGTGAAATGAGTGGATATTTGTATATAGAAAATTATCTTATTACTGTTTTCAATTGTTATATGGAGAGTTTGTGTTTTTGTGACCTTTCTCTGGTAATTTTTGGTGTAAGATCGCTCGTGCCCCGTTACTTTTATGATCCCACCTGTAGTTAGCGGGGTTCGGGAGTGACGGGGAGGGGTTGCCATGTTGCATGTGGTCGAAGGTTGCGGCGCCAAATGTTCGGTTAGTCAGATTCAGGTCAGTTTCTTTCAATGCGCTACTTACCTTCCCATCTCAACAACCTCTTCACCACTTCATTAGCTCACCCTCACCAACAACAAATGACGCCGACACACCCCCATCAGCCTTCCTCGGCCTTCGGTCTTCGTTGGAAATCCAACCTTTTTGGTCCTGTGCCAGCTTGGGGGGAAACCCCGAACATCGCCATAATTGAGGCACTTTCACGACAGCACCTTCGTGCGGACCAACTTTCTGTGAAATTCCTCACAGGAGGGGCCTTTAACAAAATCTATTTAATCACGGTCTCCTCGAACACAATCAAGGACCAAAAGTCCTACATCTTCCGCGCAACGCTCCCGGTCGAACCCTTCTACAAGACTGCCAGCGAGGTTGCCACTCTCCGACTATTGCGGCAACGTACCTCACTGCCAGTTCCAGAGGTATTCGCCTACGATTGCACCACTGAAAATGAGTTGGGTTTTGAATGGATCATTATGGAGAAAGTCCCAGGAGTATGCCTGCGGGAGGTCTGGCGCGATCTGAGCCTCGAGAGGAAGACAATTGTTGTTGAGCGCTTGGGGCAACTCTCCAAGGAACTCCGTGGGAAGTGCAGATTTGATGCCATCGGGAGTTTGTATCAGCATGCCGAGCTCAGCGAAGCGGACTTGAAGGTCGCTGTGGCTACTGATAACAACGATTTTGTGATCGGGCCGATAGTAAACTCTTTTATTTTCGCTGGAAAGAGGAAGTCACTGATAAAGAGGGATCGCGGGCCTTATCGAAGCGACCGAGAATACTTACTTGCTTTAATGAAAGTGGAACTGGAAGATAAGAAACTTCTCCTAAAACTGATTTCTGGTAAGTATGATAAATCAAATGGATTGGCTACAATGAAGTAACGACATGTTAGATAAACGTGCGGCTGGCGTTCAAAAGGTGCATTCGAATGACGAAGATTCAGAGAGTGATGAAGATGATCTTGCCGCGGATGTGCCAGAGATTGAGGATACCATCCGACGGCTCCAGGGAATTCTCACTTCCCTTTTCTCCAACGACATGCAAACAAAGGGATTCGTGCTGCGTCACCACGACCTTAGTCACTCAAATATTATGGTTGACCACACAACACTGGAGATAACCGGGATCATCGATTGGGAGTGTATTACCACTGTACCAGCTTGGGAAGACACCTATCCTCAAATGCTACAGGGAGAAGATATGGAGGAACAACCAGAGCCTTTGGCATTTGGGGATACTGATGAGTGCCGCGTCGAGACATGGGAGATGTGGGAGAATACGAAGCTGAGAAAAATCTTTGATCAGGCTGCGGGTTCGCGTGCAAACAATGATAGAGATGGATGGGATAAGCGTGGCGTCAGAGAGCAACTTGATTTGCTTGAATTTTCGACTAAGATGGTGAAGGACTGGATTATCGAGTATGAGAAGCGAGAGCGTGTGCAATGCTGTTAATGTTAAGCATTGGCCTTTGTACTATAGTTTCATACGATATCCGGTTGGTGAGCTTTTGGGGCCGTCACTTATCTATAGTTAAAGGGATGATATTATCGGGCTGTTTTTTCACTTTAGGCAATCAATTTCAGATAGTTCCCGAGTGCCCAATTGTTCATATGATGCCGATTAATTAATTTATTTGCTGAACTAAAATTATGGGTGATATATGGGCGAGAGTGAACCTTTTCAATACCATGCTCTTGGCGAAAAAACCTTCCGGATACCATGGACCGAGGGGTATACCATCGAAAAAGTGAAACCTTCGCACAGAACTACATTGGTCTGACCTCGCTTAATAGTAGTATGTTCTTGGTGATTTTTTAGGCCAAGAATCCTATGAAAATTGCTGGAAAAAATTAGAAAAATATTAGCAGGTCTCAAGTAGTTCTGGATTTTTTACAAGATTTTTTACGGTTGTTTGAGGGGTAAAAAGACTGGGGAACTCTGTGCTATCACAGACTCTGTCCAGTCCCTTACCCATGGCGGAAGTCCGATCCGAGACGACGGGAAACGGCCGACGGAAGTGAGCGGGTGTGTCAATTTATCGGCACCAAGGCCTGCACCTCCTCCGCTTCCTTCTCCTTCCTCTTCCGCCCCTTCCCATTCCAGGTGCGCAATTGGCTGGGCAACCTGTGCGTATAGGGCCTCCTCTGCAGCGTCCTTGGGGATGGAAAATGGTAGAGCGTCTCGTCCGGCTGCAGCAGCCAGGTGGGGCGGCCACAGTACATAGTACCTCTTGTAGATTCTGTACTCGCCCTCCCTCCTCCAGCATGCACGCAGGGAGGTAGTAGCCATAGGATACTGCTCGCGTATCTGCCAAACATATTCCTCCACGGGCAGTTTTATCGTTGTCGCGGGGGCAACAATGCGGCTCAAATCACGTGGCACCGACTCCCCACAAAGTTTTCCTCGACTGGAAAAAAGAGCCCACTTGAACACCACTTCCCCCCACCACAACCCTCTATCAGCAAGTCTACAATTATCCTCTCACCCCCAATAAGTACGGCAAAGAGGGGCAAAAAATCGCGCTCGAAAGCTAGGCCCTCAAAATCCACCTCCCTGGTCCATGCGGAGCCCGCACCTTCGGAAAGAACGAATAATGGAGTACCGGCTCAAAAGAAGGATGCCGAAAGAGGAGTTCCTCGAAAAATTAATATTTGGCGACGTGGAAGGTTTCAAGGATAAGTTGGATGGAGTTGATGGTGGAGATTCTGACAAGAGCGATGAAGGAGGGATTGCACTTGTCGGAGATGGAGATGAAAATGAAGATGTGGGAGCAGACTTATAAGGGCTTCAAGACGATGAATTATTCTTTGTCGATGAGGGGCCGTCCGACACCGCTATAATCCCCTCCGAGAGTATTCGGGACGCCAGCCATAAATCTTCAGAAGAAGAAGGAGATGAAGGTCTTCTAGCATGGCAAGACTCCGACGACGAAACGCTCACCATCCATCCCACTTGCTAATCGGGGCTTGCTACCCAAGCTTCGGGACACTGAAACTGAAGACCTTGTCAGCGGGAAGGAATATTTTGCACGGCTGCACAGGTAGTTTGAGAGGATATATCCCATGCCTGAGTAGGCTGTTAGTGATTCGGTTCGGAAGAAGGCAAGGTTGTATGGCGCAGGAGCGGGGAGTAGCGATGAAGAGATGGGCGGGGTAGGGGTGGAGGAGGAGGCTGAAGAGCAGGAAGCATTGAGATCTGCGCCTAGTCTTGAGGAGATTCTGAGGAGTACTACGAACTGGACACGTACGGTTCCAGGGAGGTTGCGGCCGGGGAAGTTGACGATGGTGAGGCTAGCGGATGGGAATAGTATTGGTGGTAGTTAGGTAAACCCCCCATTCCCCTTCTGCCTTAGGCATCAAGCAATTGACAAGTTGCCAGTCAATGATATCAACCCTCTACTTCCACCCACCACCCCCCTTCTCTCCTCGGGCCCCGACTCGACCCTCCGCCTACACCACATAAACGATACCACAACCCCCCCCCCCGCTACATCCCTGCACTTGCGCAACACCCCCATCTCAACAGTCCACTCCCACCCCTCTGGTACTGTTACACAGTGTTCCCAACCGTCCAGTCCGTCCATCTTTCAGTCCGGACGGGACGGACGGCGGTGCATGGGAGGATGCCCGGGACAGACGGGCATCTTGGCGTCCGTCCAGACCACTGCCCGGGACGGACTACCGGGCCCTACGGGTGTTTAAAGATGGGGGATAGGCGAAATGCCTACTGGTGACTGCCGGTGACGGTCGGGGCCTGCGGATGACGGCCGGGCCCTGCAGATGACTGTCGGAAGATCCCCTTTGTACTAAGGCTGCAGGGCCCCGGCGTCAACCCTTAGGACCGCCGTCTTTCTGGAAGACGGACGCTATGCCCTACCGTCCATACCCATCATACCCAGGACGCCCGGGACGGTTTGGAACACTGACTGCGGGTTTGTTACGGGTGGTAGGGATTTCGCCTTTCCGGAACCTGGATTCTGTGGGATACAGGGAACGTGATGACCTGCGGAAAGCAAAAACCTCGGACGAAATATACAAAATTTTGTCCGGGCAGGAAGGTGCGGAGCCGGTAGACCGAGCGGTTTTGTGGGCGCGGGCGGTGATGGAGGGGGTTATGGGGAGGGTGACGGGGGGGATCAGGTTCCGTGGGAGGATGCAGAATCAAATTTTGCCGACCTCGCCCAAGCCTGTACCCAAGATATAAGGCGTCAATACGGAACTGCCCCTAGATCTCACGCCGAGACGGGAGACGCTCTCCGCGATCTCAAACGCTTTTTTCCGCGATTGCTCTTGCAGCCATAGACAACCTCTAATAGGATAGGGACTGGGCTACTGCCTCTGGATCGGCTGCGAGGGGGAGAGGACGGTTCTAATGGCCTCTGGGCCGCACTTGCTGTTGCTGTTTGCCCGTTGTTGGTGGTGGGTGGGTCTTGTGTGTTTTGCTTTTTTGTTTATTGAAAAAAAAAAGAAAAAACTAGTTTAGTATAGAAAGCTAGAAATAAAATCAAGTGTCTACCCTGTCTTTGCTAGTCTGCGAGTGTTTTTCTTTCTCATTTGTTGCACGTTTTGTAGGAAATTGTGGTCGTGATAGCGCCCTAATATCCCTAGTTCCCACGGTGACTAGGGTCATGAGTGACCCCTCATGACTGCTTGTGTCATCCCATGTCCCCACCCATATTAAATTTTCTACCTTGCTTCTTTTCTTCTTTTCTCCTTTCTCCCCCTCTCCCTCTCAATCATATTATTATTCCAGAAACAATTTAAGTCGCCCGCTTGCCTTGTAACCGTTCTCCACTAGTTGTGATATCACCCAGCACCTTTAACCTTATTAGTTGCAAATCTTTTGAGGATCAAGTTGTACACTCGCCCCCCGCTATCCCGGATCACACTGAACCGAATACCTCGCTGTCCCGTATGAAACTCCGGTGAATTCTGAATTTCTTTGCACCAAAACCTGGCCTGTTGTCCCGGATAACTCGCCGTACCGGACAGATTCTTCGGATCCTGGCTGTCCAGGATAGCGGGGTGTGAGTGTAGTTCAATCTGCTCTCCCTTCTTAGCGCGCTGGCGCTGATATTTACAAGGTGGAAAGGGATCGAGTGGCGAGTGATACCCTATTATGAACAACGGCCTTCCTTCCACACATCTAGCTTGACTTCCCGTAGACGTTAGGCTAAATTTTGTACGAGTAACAATAGAGCTAAGGCCCTGTTCGGTTGCCCTGGGCCCATTTCATTTTTACATACAAACAGCCATTTCCCATCCAATTTGAAACGGAAGAACTGAATGGTTGTTCGGCAACAGTAAATGGCATTGACCTTCTATTTCAGATATAGCCCTAACACAACAGTTCCTATATAGAAACATCACATGTGATGTGTCATGAATGTGGCTTGACGAGGAAAAGGTTTTCACGTGACACATGGTTATGAGTCACAGGTATGTTATTGGTTCACACATATGACTCATTTGAGTCATATGATTTGTTATGTGTGGGATTTGTGATGCTTTCACACATGGCCCAAATATGAGTCTTGGGACGTGTGCCTGATGAGTATGCCTTACGAGTGTGCCTTGCGGGTATGTCTTATATATACAATTTATGTTTCGCACATGACCTCGCTATGAGGTCATAGGTTTTGAGCATGTGACTATCTTAGTCACATGACTAGTTTGTTATGATTTGGTTTCACACATGTGACCACTTTGGGTCACATGATAACAGGCGGAAAGAACACTATATAAGGAGGCCGATATGGCCAAGGAGGATAGGTTCTTCATGCTTTGTTCTAAGTACTTTTCCTACTTATTACTTTAACGAATATAAAACACCTTTATAATCTTTATCTTTATTGCAACATTATCGTTACACCGTGGAGAGCTCTTTACGAAGAAGAGTTAGAGAAAGCTTACCATAGGCGTTCCCGATAGAAGACAGAGGTCTTGTACTATCAGTAACATAGGCAACAGCCTGGTGCTATCATAATACTAAGGAAAAAAACAGAAGAAGAGAAGTATCGTTCCCCATCGCCAAGAACTAACTATCCGAGGAGGGATCGTTACATAATGCAATAATTATTATCCTACAGAATAGGTTTTGTAGAAGATAATATTATCTACAAAATACCTTTCATTTGAATTCCAATTTCAAACAATTCAATAATGAATATTCAAGCCAATAATAATGGTATCCATACCACAATAATCCATCCAATGATGAATGCAATTGCAAGCAGCATAGTAATTTATGTTAACTTCTTTCAGCCTAGAGAGTATGTACATACTTGTAGTAGTACTGATTACTGAGTTAGCAAAATCTTAAGAGTACATCCAGTCATGGCATTGTAATAACAGCTACCTCTGGAAGGATAGATCCCAAGATTACAACCACACTGAAGTATTCCTTCAGAAAATAAAGATAAAGATAAATCAATAGCAGAATTGAAAAAAAGAAAAGCAGTAAAACTTAATAAAGTTAAGCCAATGCTTTACTCAATTAAGTCCTGATCTTAAGAGGTAGTTGATTATTAGAGTAGAGGAGAACTTGCATATACTTAAGTGGACTTCATAGACTGCCAGTTGCTCCCTATCACTGCTTATCAACTGTCTCCTCTACACCTCCAGTGATTGAAATTTATTCTTTATTTGTGAACACCTCAACCCCTCAATACTTTTTCCCAATTTTAGCACCTGATCACTTCCCTAGGAGGAGACTAAGCTATCACTTTTCATCTCCCTATCACAATAACACTCTATTCTTGCTTTTTCTCTTAATGTCTACCCTCTTGAAGTCCTCCTTCCTTTCTTCCAACATCTTGTAATGTGGGTTTTCGTTTTTACCCCACTTTTGCTTTAGCCATGCTTAGCCTCAGCATGGTATATTTTTTCCAATTTTCCTGCAACAGAGGACTCAGAATACAGTTTGTGGTACAGTATCATAATAGATTACTTCTGCCTCTTTCAGAAGTTGCTTTAGTTTCCTCATCAGGCTTCAGTTAATTTTGCCACCCCCTTCCTCTCTATCCTCTACAGGTAGTAGTATCTTATCTACTAAGTAATATAATCTTCAAACACAAGGGATTATTTGAGCGATGCAGGAATATACCTGCAGGTATTGGGGACTCAAGGAGGCTACCTAGTCAAGACATGAATATGATTCAGAGAGTTGTTTTGGTATTTTGGTCTACTGCTCCTCTCCTCTTGACTCAGCTTTAATTGGCTGGTATATTACTACCATTTTACCTTCCATCAAAGTTACAAGTACTAGGATCCGATACTTAGGAACCACCCTATGTAGGGTAACTCCACTCAGAATTGGAATCTCTGGACTCCAACACCCTCCTCTAGCCCTCTTACAGGGTCCACATATCATTATACATATTTATCTCAATTTTTTCCTGTGACTATAATACTACAGAGTTCAAGGTGTTATAATAAGACTATATTCATCGCTGCTGTTTTTCTGATTGGGTCCTGTTCATAGAATATATAAGAGGGAAGATTCCTCTAAGCCCAGGAAGTGGAACAGAGTGAATCTGTCAACTACTCAGGAAGGTACTAGGCTTCAAAGATGTTACATCTTCGAAAAGGGCTATAGCTAACAGGATGCTTTTATATAGAGATATGGTATCGAATGAGATAGAATCTCTTCAAGAAACCAATATATTAGCACCTACTATACGATAACTACAAGGGTCTAGAACTCGGAGAAACACTAACACAGAAGCCAATAGACTTTGACTTTACGGAGTGTAATAACAGGTACCTAGAATATATTGTGGTTGCTGAAGTAATTCCCAATACTAATACAATGACAGAAATCCTGCTGGTCAGAGCAACCAAGAGTTGCTAACTATGGGATTATCTGCCAATACAGTACAATGACTACCTATAAATTAATAAGAAATCATTCAGAAGATATCTATTAAGGAGATCTAGAGTTATAAAGGTTTAAAGTTAGTGACCTGGGAAGATTGAATTTATGACTACTTCTGCAGATATACTGTACAGATGAAACTGATTATTTCATTGATAAGGGAGATGATTGAGGCCAACTCTGTTTGACTAGAGATCTATGCTACAAGTCCAAAGACTCTGAAGATTGGATGATTATTATTGGGAACAATATAGTTCCTAAATTAGCAAAATAGTAATTACCAAAGAGGATGTGCTAGTTGTCAGAGTCTCCTGATGTTCGCATCTTTGAAGAATATCCTACCAGTGATTTCAAGAGAGGTACATAGTT